TGTGTCAAGTTTAGTCTGACTCAAGCAGAAGCTTTATCAGGAAAAAGGAAGTGCAGTAATGTCTAAAACCACTGTCAGTGTTCCCTATATAACAGATTCTCTGTAAATGTGTTCCTTGTTCTTTCTTTTGACCTCCATGTTCACAAAATCCTAGGAGTTTCTCTTTTTGACTTCCCTGATCACTGTATATCTTTGACCAAAGTAAAAGCATTATTTTGTAGTGACTGGAGAAATACACAGGGAAAACATCAGGGTTAGTGACTCTTCCAAAACAGAATAGCAAAAATCTGGAATTGCATCTCAGGAATAAATTAAGAAATTGAGCCATCTCCCTCAGAAAATGCCCAGCCAGTCAATGCCCAGGTTCAGCTCACACCTGGATTCAATGCATGGCGCATAAACCAAAGCTTAAGGAACAATATAGACTATCCCTGACCCACATTGACTTGAGGGTAGGGCTAAGTTGGGTTCAAAGGTTTTTGCTTGTTTTTTAACTCTAGGCATAATGCAATGGCTAGATAAACTTCACAGGGGCAGAATTTTTGCCACACTCTTCAAGTGTCTCAACTGTTTCCCCATAAAGCATAAGAAACTATTTGGAATAAATGCTTCCATTTTAATACATATACACAGTATTTATAGAAAACTTATGAGTGAGGGTGAATGAGACAAGATGTCAAAATGAGCAAAGGAGCAAAAGCATTGACTACTGTCCTTGTTACCATTTGTATGAAAACACAAAAGTTTCCAATGTGTATCTTGCTAAAATATGGAAAGCTGGGTTCAACCATTGTAAAGGAATAGTTCACTGTGGGAAATGTGAAGCACAGTATAGAGTTAGCTTTAACACATTCGAAGAGTGGTGCACTGTTTAAACATCATCTTCATTGTTAAAGGAGAGTTCACATTATCATGCATTGGTTTTACACTTGTTAACTTGGATGTCAACTTAAAGAAAATTTAAAAAAGTCTACTCTTCCAGCAATTCAGTATTTGGAAGTCTTGCTAAAAATAATACCTAAGGTTCATGAAGTGGCACTGCTTGGTATAGCTCACTTTACTACCTCAGTAACTAAAACCTTCCTGGATGGAAACCAGGCCCAACTCAGTTTAAGAACATTACAAGAAGAACTTTCCACCTGTTTCTTATTCTGTCTACACTATCTGAATTTGATATCTTCATTTGCTGCACACTTGGTGTTTTTTTCCTTCCCTATCTCCCTATTTTCTCATTTCAAAAGGCCATGATGGGAACACCAAAGGCCATGAATCTGTGGAATGTTTCCAGTGCACTCTGTGGAATTATGTCTAGGTAATCCACTTCCTATATATCTTCCCACCATAGACGTCTGTACTCAAGAAGATTCTCATACATTGTGAGAAGGCTTGGGGGTCTTGTCTGTGGTGTATTGGGTACAGTATGTGAAAGAGTCCCTGACTTCCTTTGCTTGTTTTACGAATCTGGAGAGACAGCAACAACACAACCTTAGTACTTATCAATCATACTTTTTACCTTATCATTCTTTGCTTCAAAAGCAGTGACCTAGATTATTTTCTAAATCAGCCTATTATATACACTGGACATTCTAAACTGTTATACTGGTTCAAAAAAACATACCAAGCCCTTTCCAGGCCCCCAAAAAGAGCACCTTGTACTTAGTATTCCTATTTAATTGATTTGCCTAAAATATAGTCACCTTTCATGACTCATACAGCAAAAGCTACAGCAGGTAACATTTCTTCTAAATGCACAGCTATTGCTCAGCTAGGGAAATAGAAAGTAGGACATTTGAGCATGTATGTGCACCTGAATGTGTTCTCTGATAATCACTGTACTTTGGAATACTAAGTACTTTTTTGAAATTAGTAGATTTTACTTTACATCCAAATATTTTAAACCACTGTGATTCAGTTTTTAAAAGAATATGTAGCACAAACACATGCTACATGATCTTTTCTCACTAGATATCACACAACACAACTACAGGACAAAGTAGTAAACCCATACCTCTATTATCTGCTTATTTTTACACTAACCTGCTCTAAAACCTTTAGCCCAGGAACCTGTAGCCCAACTCCCCACACTTGTTGATGATTTCAAGAACCAAAAAAATCAGTAAATTATTTTATAACTTGCAAAGATAAGGAAGAAAACACAGGCTAAAATCTGTCTTTGAAATCATAAGGGATGCTTTGCACCAATTCCCTAGTACTTGACAGCATTCTGTCAAACTTTTTCATTTGAAACCAGTTAATTGTCCTCCTTTTAGATTTAAGATAATATAATAGGTAGTAGTCAATCTGTTCTTTTTGTTTTTAACAGTTAAGAGGATTTTAGTCCTTGTTTTATTTTAATTACCCAATTAAATTCTTAGTTGTATTGCTATCTTGGGATCAAAAACTGCAAATGATTATAGGCTTTGTGTTAACAGCAGAAGAATAGACCACACCAAGTACAATATCCAGAGGAAATGGCAGGCACGGGTTTGAGTCCAACTAAAAAGATCAAAGCCTTTTAAATGCCAGCTACATAGTTTGATACATCAATGTTCCATTTTTTTAATCTCCAAAATTCTCTGACTCCCAATTTGGACTCAAATCACTGGCAATCTAAGACATAACTATCCTATTAGAGTATTTGGTGATGTTGTCAGACAACCCATGGATTAACCCATCACTTCAACACTCAAGTACATTAGCATATATAAGCTGCAAAATAAATTGCTCTTAAAATAAATAACCATTTGTTTAACACCTTCCAAAACACTTTGGAAAGAGAAAACTATTCTAGAGAGATGAAAGTGGGTGGGGAGGGGGAAGTGTAAAAAAAAGAACTTTAACCTAGTGGTGGAGGGATTGGCATTTCCGGTAAAAAATTATTTACAATAAAAACATAAAGGCCTTGGAACAAACTTACTGTTTCTTCCTGCTGAATTATTTCCCACTCACCAATACTATGGAAGGGCTAGCTTCAAGGTCCCTAGACAAATGGCCACGTCTCAAAAAAGAAAGGCTTTTTATGTGCTCCTTTCTCAGAAGAGAGCTAAATCTTTTCACAGAATAACCCAAGAAGGCTTACAGCCTTTGACCTGTCCCACTTTGGGAAGTCCTACAGACAGCTATTTCATGCCCAGGACATGAACCGGTGCTGCAGATGTAGGTGGGTAATCGAACCAAGCATCTGTAGTGTTCGGCTGGATGCCAAGGACCAGGAGTACACCCTGAGCCGTATCAGTAATGCTCTGCTAAGTAAGGTGTCCAGTTTGCTGTCCCCTTAGACAAGTCTCGGGATGAGAACACCATTCCAGAGTCACTAAACGCTGAGTAGTTAAGGAACAAAAGGGTAAAAGGACAGGAGACAGTGAAGGAGGCTGGTTAGACAGGGCGTGGATCTAGAACTCAGGGACCAGGGCTGTAGGACAGTGACAACAACTCCACTGCAGCAGGGAACCCTCCTGGAAGCCAATAGCTGGCTCCTCTCAGAACCTCCACAGTCCTCTAAGCTTCCCAGCTAGGAGCAACTTCCCTTGGCCGGAGCACAGGAACATCAGCCCTTTTGGACACTCTTAACAACTCGCATGCACCTTGCCTTTTGCTGCATAAGTAGTGGCTGCAAAATGTCCTAGACCTCCACACCCACTGCCTCCAACCCCGCCCACCCACGCTCCTCTGTTCTCCCTGCAGCCACTGGGCTGCAGCCCCCTCTGCTCGCGTCATCTCTGTGATGCTACATTTGCTAGGCTCAGAGGCTGGGAGCGAGCAGCCACTTGCTGCCCAGCCGTGGGAGTTCTGGATGCCAGCGTGGCCGGCTCTGAGCTCCAGGTGTCAAGGCTGCCGCGGAGAGCCATGATCTAGTGCACCGCAGTGCCAGCTTCAGCAGCCTTAGTCGCCCTGCTGCCGCGGCAGGACAAATGATCCCCCGCCCCTCAAGCACAACTACAGACCAAAAAAAAAGAAAGAAAAGAAAAAAGAAAACCGCTCCAGGTCAATTCCCACCCTATCCCAGCCAAGGGATGCCGCACACTCTTGGAATGATTTCAGGAAAGACTGAACCCAGCCTCCTTTGCCACAGCTGCCACCACCAGGCAGCCCTCAGGCCTGGCTGTTTAAGGGCTGCTCGCCCACGACTCCACTGCTCCGAAATGCCTCAGACTAGACACAGGGAAGTAAACCCCTGGGAACGGCTCCCCAAATCACCTGCATTTGCATTTCTTATGTAATATACTGCAAGTTTCCCTGTTGGAGCCCTTTGAAATCGGGGCGCATGATCGCCAGGAGGTATAAGCTAGGGACCCGCTGGTCGTCCTGGGACCTACACACAGGGTTTCCTTTCGCGGTTTTTGAAAGGGGAAGGGACTTAAATGGCATGTACTGGAGGGACTGGGCTTGTCCTCTGGGTCCTGGTTCCCCCAGGTACAAGCCCTGCTCCAGTGTTCACTGTTCGCAGGCTGGATGTGTCAGAGGCAGACTAGGGAATGAGTTAATAACACTAGACGAGGGGGGCTGGGGGGGGGGGAGGCGGGGGCTGACGGATGAGCCGGGCCAGGAGAGAGGGGGCGCTTTTACTTTGCTAAAGGTGATGGGATGGCGAATATTGTGCAAGCTAATCAGAAAGTCTAAAGCTATGTCCCTGGAGGAGCAGAAGTAAAGCAAGCTCTCTGCTCTTTCTCCTGGCACAGCCATAAGCCATAAGCCCTTCAATATTCCACCAGACACGGGAGACCAAATCCATTTAGTAGGGGGATTAAAAAAAAAAGTTTCCTCCTCCTAGTGATGGATTGTGTCACAGCTAAGAGCTGTTGATCACGGTTTTCGGGTCGAGAGGACGCAGATCCGGCGGTGGCTACTTGTTTATTCATGCAACACCTCTGTATGCAACACTGTCCGGGTTCCTTGCATGTTCCCTGGCATCCTGCATAGCAAAACTGCAGACCTAGCTCAGTGAGCAACAGACAGGATATTACGAGGAAAAAACAGAATATGATGCATGCTTTGCTTACCAGTTGGGTTCTTGTTTTTCTTAAGACTCTTGCCACAAAGACACTGCAGCATATGCGTTCCTTTGCTGAAAATGTTCCAAAGAAACCACATTGATTTGGGCGAAAAGCAACCCAGCAGCTTAGACACCCTGAGAAAGAAGAGGCCCTTGTGGTTGCATAATAATAACTTGAAATCAGTTCTCCTGAAGAGGGGCACCGGTTTTACCATAGGAAAAACGTTAATATTCCGAATCTTCTCCCAGTTTTTTCCCCTCACGTGGTATATCTCTTTGAGACTTCTCAGCGATTGTTTTTTCTCGGCCAGGGTGAATGATTTATTCCCTCTTGATCACCACTGGATCATGACCAAAGGGTTGGAGAGAAAAAAATCCTTTTTCACATGAAGCCAAACCAAAAAAAGCAAAGAAATCCCAACCGAGACCAGAACTAATCAGGAAGAACAGGAATGCACAAAAGATCCCCAAAGAGAAAATCATAGCCTTTTACTCAATGGAACTGAGGATGGGCGGATCTGCAGAAGGCAAACCGGCTTCATCTTAGCGAGAGAAGACTGCCATTGTGTAGCCCCTAGGAGAGAAGGGAAAAAAGGGGGGGGGGGAGGAAAAAAGAAAGAAAGAAAGAAAGAAAAAAAAACAAAACACCACCACACACACTCATACACCAATACCACCTCCTAGATTGGTCTGGCCGCCAAAGACTGAGCCTTCTTTCTCCCGCGGTCAATTTTTTTTGAAAAATAAGCAATCACCAGAGCTCCGTGGGATCGGACTGAAACTGCAGTTCTTAATCACGAAGAGAAGATGCCCCCTCCCCTTGTCAGTCTCGTAGTAGGTAGAAGCGCCACAAATTTCCTTCCTCCTTCCTTACACTCTTCCTTCCAGTCTCCAGGCACCGTGAGCATGAGGAAAATCTCTCCTCCGTATTCCTCGCCCAGCCTTGGCTGTGAGTTACAGGCATTAGAGGGAGGAGGAGGAGTTGAAGTTTGCATTGAAAAGACTGGCTTTCCATGACGTAGCCACGTGCTTTCAGACCCGTCACCAGTGAGGTGCCTCAACCAGCCTTGGGAGGGACTGTCACTGCAGTGTATGCCACCCCTCCAGAGTGCTCTCCTCCACCAACCCCAGCTAGGCTCAGCACAACCCCAGAGACCCTCTCCCTTCCTCAGCCAGCTCATATGCTTGCTGCTGGCTCTTAGAGTCAGCCTCATATCCTGCTGTTAAAAGCAAATTTAAAAAGTACAATTAACAATTATAATGAATAAACCTTAGAAAATACACGGGGGAGGAGTTTAATGGCATTGCACACAGCCAAAACCAACTCCACTCTCCATCCTCAAAAGCAGCATTAAGGCACCTTAGATATTAGGAAAATTCAAGTCCCTTTCTTTCTTGGGAAGTGACTCCCACTTACCATGTTCATGGAAAAATATAAACCAGGTGGATGGCCAATACACATTTCTAGAAACAGCCTATTAAAAGGACAAACACCAGCTGGGCAGTGGTGACACACACCTTTAACCCTAGCACTCAGGAGAAGAGGCAGGAGGATCTCTATGAATTCCAGGCCAGCCTGTTCCATAGAGTGAATTTCAGGACAGCCAAGACTACACAGAGAAGCCCTGTCAAAAAGCAAAAACAAAAACAAAAAAAAACAACAAAAAAGGACAAACACCAAAATCTAGATGGAAAAGCATATTTTTTTGTGGAGAGGGTCATATGTACAGAATGACATTTATGCCTTTTCTAGACAAATAGTCCATTCCTTTGAAATACTTTCCTGGACAGAAAGTATCCTAATTTCATGCTTTAACCAAGGGCTTGTTTCTGCCTTCCAATTGAACCAGCATTAAACTCACCCTTTTCCATACTCTATGCCTATCACACAGACTACAACATATCATTCAGCAAAGCAGGCACAATCTAATCCAGCCTTCTATTTACCCAGAAAGTCTAAGGATTTGCGGCAGAGCTGTTGATTTTTTTCCAGGTTAGAGTGAGGAATACAATGTACAAAGCAGTAGAGATTGTTACAAAGAATAATATAACTGCAGCATTCCTACAACTCATAAAAGTTGGTGCCAATTCCTATGTGTGAGCTGAGGATTGAGGAACAGAGAAACAGATCACTCTCACTCTCTTTAGGTAAGTATGTTAATGTTAGTGTCAGTTTGATTCCATTTCAACAGAAAAAAATATTAAAAAGCCAACTCTAATCTTTGTTTAGAAATTACAAGTTAATTGTCAAAAAAACATTAAAACTATTACCTTTATCATCAAACTTTCTTTAAAATAGTAGGTGTGTAAGTAGATAAATTTTTATGGAATTAGGGACTGATTGAAGAGACTGGTTTTTTTTAATCATCTGTCCAGAAAAAAACAATAAACATCTTCCCTACTCCTGCCTATTCTAGCTAGTAGTTAAGAAGCATTTCCAAATGCTAAAATTTGTTACAAATATTCTTTTGGGAAACATCAATGAATTTTACAAAATATAGAAGAATTAAAACGTGTAAATGCGATTAAAGGCAAAGAATTAGGGGTCAAATGGCAATGGATTTATGTGTCAAAATAATCATGTTATTAAATTGCTAATTTTAAATGAATTGCTAATATTAAACATGGTCTAAAATGTTTGGGAGATAGAGGAACACATGCATCTACTGCCAATGACTTACTATGAAGAAGCCTGTGGAAAATGAAGAATGGAATTACTTTTTGAAGGAGGAAGAATGAGATAACCACTGTCAAACAAGTAGATTAAATTTTGCATTAATTAGAGACAGATATTTTATGCTATATCTGTAATATTCTTTACTATTTTCCAGGTGGTTCCAGAATTCCCCATAGAGTTCCACTGGGCAAAAGCCAGAGAAACAGTTGAGTAAAAAGCACTGTTTATGAAGGTCCTGCAAACTTACCAGGCTGTAAGGTTCTGCAAAAGCTTATTGAGTAACCTGTTCAAAAATAGAGTAACAATTGGGTAATTATTAAAAATGTTAATATATTAACTCTGTGTAAATGGTATTTCTCAAACCAATATTTCTTGAAATTACACATTGCTGTTTTCTCTGAATCATGAAAGAGAAATATTTCCATAAAGTCATTTAACACTAAAATAAAGAATGATTGTCAGTGGTGTCCTTTCTTACCTATTGGTGAAAAACGTATTTCTTTGTCCCACTTTCTAAGACTCTGTTATACTAGGCACTGTTTTGCTTAAAAAGGGAAATATTTCTGAAGATCTAAAAATTGATATGTTATATTTCTCCACCATATTTACTAATACATTATTTATTCATTTGAAATAAGCCATTACATTGTTGAATGACCATCAGCAAAAGCTCATTTTTATCTAGGATGGAAAAGATTAACACAGTTCTGATGGGTTCTGGCCATAGTAATCAGTCATGCAACCAGTATCAACTGAGCATCCACTCTGAAAGTGACTATAGAGAGCACAATGTTGGATACTAAGTTATGAAATGGAACCAGATTTCCAGTGACAGAAGAGAGACCAAAGGAAGTCTAGGATCTCAGATCTGGGAAGATCCACAATTTGTATCATGTTGACTTGAGTTCCAGATTCTTATTTAAGTTTCATTTTAGAAGAAAGTCAAATGCTTGATCAGTCACACTAAATTCAAGTCAATATTACTCAGTAAAAATGAAAACTAATATGAAAAGATATACAGGTCTTGAATGCTTATGAATAAAGATGAGATACTAAAACTGTAAAATTGACAGTAAAATCTGCAATGAATTGCTTTAAAAATCATATTACTATATTTCATGAGGCTATAGCAAAATTATGTGGTATTCATTATTAAATTCACTTTGAAGTTAAACTTACCCTCAGTATGTCATAGTAAGCAAATATAAAAGTATAATGATCAGGACTTCAGGACATAATATATTCTACTTAAAGATGGGACAGAACTTTCATGAAATCAGTCAACAAAACCCTGCAAGCAGATCTTGGCATGCTTTTTCTGTTTGTTCCCAATAGTTGCTCTTCTATTTTGCCTTTTAGTAATAATTTTGCCACCACAGTTTTGAAAGTACACAGAAGTAGTCTGAGAAAGAACGTAATTCCTAACCCCCATTATAGTTTTAAACATGATCACGTGATCACATCTGACCTATGATATGTGAGAAGTGATGTGGACAATTTCCTCCTCACAATCTTCAAAAGAATCTGTGTAGCTCCCACTTCTTTGTCCCATCCTTGCTGAGAGCTAGAAGGCATGGTGGGAGCAGATGGGACAACAAGCATAGAATCACATACTGAAAACAATGGAATACAAGGTAGACTCAACCTAGAACCTTGAACAGAGTCATTCAGCCATCCTGGACAACTTGTCTGCCTCTGAACTGTTAAAAAGGAACTTTTAACTTGATTGAGCCTATATTAATCTCTTTGCATTGCTATAACAAAATATCATGAGCTGATAAGTTAAAAACAACAGTGTTGTAGAATATTAGTTAAAGATGTGTTATGTTTGTTTATGCTATGGAACAATTGTTAAATGATGCAAAGACTTGTTGCATTCTTTTATGTTGCATTTGTTTAACTCTGTGAAGCTGTGTTACTTTGCCTGTTTAGAACACCTGATTGGTCTAATAAAAAGATGAATGGCCAATAGAGAGGCAGGAGAGGAATAGGCAGGGCTGGCAGGCAGAGAGAATAAATAGGAAGGAAGAGGGAATAGAGGAGCAAGAAAAGAAGGAGAGAGGACATTAGGGGCCAGCCACCCAGCCACACAACCAGCCATGGAGTAAGAAGTAAAAAAAGGTATATAAGTCGGGCGGTGGTGGCGCATGCCTTTAATCCCAGCACTCGGGAGGCAGAGCCAGGCAGATCTCTGTGAGTTCGAGGCCAGCCTGGGCTACCAAGTGAGTTCCAGGAGAGGCGCAAAGCTACACAGAGAAACCCTGTCTCGAAAAACCAAAAAAAAAAAAAAAAAAAAAAAGTATATAGACTACTTACTTCCTATATATCCACACCTATATGCCTTTCTGTCCCTGCCATCTAACTTCTTCTCTCCACCCAGCTACATCACTTCCTCTTTCTGCCCAGCTCTGTCACTTCCTGTTTGTCTGTACAGACCTCCAGACCTTTATGGTTAACTAGTGTTGGCATTTAAAGGTGTATGCTACCATGCCTGGCTCTGTTCCCAGTGTGGCCTGAACTCACAGAGATCTGGATGGATCTCTGCCTCCCAAATGCTAGGTTTAAAGACATATGCTACCATTGCCTGACTTTTATGTTTAATATAGTGGCTGGTTTTTTCCTCTGATCCTCAGATAAACTTTATTGAGGTATACAAAGAAAATATCACCACACCCCACTTCCTTCTCTGTTCTGCTCCCAAGCCCTTTAACTGTGGCTTATGGCAGGTTGGGACTTTGAAGCACAATGGCAAAACCTTGCTTCCTGGAAGAAGAACTCATAGGAAAGGGATTGGAAGAGACTAGTCACATAAAATGATCAACATGTGTACAGAGATCTTGGGGTCTGCTCATCAGGAAAACTTCCTTTTAAAACATGAAAAATTTTGTTGTTTGGGTGCTTGTTCCTTTATTATTACCAGTGCCAACAATTATTATTACATTTAATGAATAACTCTAAATCTCACATCCCAATTGTAGCCAAAAACAACTGGTTCCTCCCCTCATGTTCTCATGTTGATCCTTTTCAGAACAAAACTTACTTTCCTCTCCTAAAAGGACTACTCTGGGAAGGTCTCTTCAGCTACATACTTTGCCCCCTCCCAGACTGTCCAAGAAATGACTCTCAAATAATTTGTTCTGACTCCCCTTTCTTTTCTCCTTCTGTAACACATCTGTTAAGAAGTTTAAAGACTTCATGCTTGTTCTACTTCATACTGAAAGTAGTGGGTCCAGCTCACAGCCCATTGCTAGACTGGAGAATAGTCCCTCTCTAAACACTCTGTGGGCCTGTAGTAGACATCAGTCCCTGAACACATCTTTTTCATTGTCTCCTGTAGTTGACCTT